GCAGGCACAGCCTGCCTTCCCCTGCTCAGGAAGGGCAAAGCGGGGCAGCCAGGACAGATCCTGATGCCTCCCTTACCAACGCACTCCACGTTGGACCGAATGCGGATCCAGGCACCTTTGCTGTCCCTTCCCAACCATGGGTCTCTGTATACAGGTTTCCTGTTGCCTGTGGGCTGGACTTCCCCCAAACATTTGACGTGGGTGAAGGACGGCTGGAAACCCTCAGGGCAGCTCAGCATCACTTCTTCGTTTTTCTTGTAATTCTCCTGGTCTGGTGCCAGCCGGAGTCTTGAGTCCCACCGGGGCCTTTGGCACGTTTCTGGCAGAGTTGAACATGGCTGTTAGTTGGGGTTTGAGGTGATGAGGTGGGGCAGGGGTGGGTGGTGGGAGAGAAATCCCAGCAATCCCTCCAGCCCCTGGAGGGAGAGGGAAGGTGACATGTCCATCTGCCAGGATGTGACCCACAGGCAAGGCTTGTTGGGAGGGGGCTTGCCTTGTGTACCCGAAGCATGAATGATCACTCATCCATGAACCTCCCCCATCCACCCTTGTGTCCAGGGACACTATATTCCCGCCTCCACAGCCCACAGCAGGGAGTTTCCCAGGACAATCACCCCTGCACTAGGAGCCCCCCTCCAGCCACTCCTTCAAACATGTCACCCCCCCCAGCTCAGGCTGCCCTTGATGGGCCATGGCACCACCAGCCCTGCTGGGGTGCATGTCTCTCCAGGCATGGCTTATCCCTCCCACATGGATCAGAGATGCCCCTGTTACACTTCTGGCGTCCCTGTGCTGGTTCAGTCAGTCCCTCTGCAACTCTCCTTCCCCACACCACCGTGCAGTAGGACATGGGGATGAGCAATGCCATCTCCAGTCACGTCCCCCGCTTTACCACAGCCCCTGCCCCTTTTCCCTGCCACAAGCCCTGCTCCCTCCTCCACATCCCCTCCTCACCACATTCACCATCCTCTGGGCTGAGTAGGCACAGCCTGTCCCAGCAGTTTGCTGAGTGCTGCGGGGGGAGGCTTTCTGGCAATGATTCCCACAGGCAGGGATGCTGGCACCTGGGAAGGAGCACTTCCCTGTTCCAGCCTCTGCAAGGGGCTCTGGGAGGCCTCAAAGTGCTTAAAATACAAACTTTCTTCTGCCAAAGGGGCAGAGAAGGGATCTCACAAGGTTCAGATCATCTTCTGAACAGCCATGAAGAAGTACAGACACGCTGGTGAACAAGCCACTTACGGTCAGGCTTTGCTCTCAAACAGCCCTGATTACAGAAGGCAAGAGATGCCCAGCTGAGCACCGCAGCCAGCAGCTGTGTCCCACTGACACACAGCCACCACCTACCCCATGCACAGGCACCCAGCCGCTCACCACGCCCAGGCCCATCCAGCTGGCAATGCGGCAGCAAGTTCCCTTTTGCTCTGCTCTCAGCAGGCACAGTGTCCCTCGGGCACACCTGGGGACAGGATGTGTACAAAAAGTGGTAGCCCTGCCCCATGAAGACCCTTCCCCTGATCCATGGTGCATGAATTCATGCCTGATTCATGCCTGCAGCCTCCAGGGAACGATTGGCAAACTGGCTCAGTGCAGGGCATGACCCATCCCCAACCATCCAGCCCAATCCTGTCCTTCCCACAGCACCCCCAGTGCACCCCCACAGTAGCTCCTGCCCCCCAGGGTCTCCATGAGACAGCAAGTGCCCCAGCTGACACAGCCCTCAGGGGTCCGCCATGGCTGCATGCTGTAAATTTGCGTATCAAGCTTGCAGGGGGAGGAGCAGCAAAATCTTCTCTTGAGGGGAGAGGAGGAACCATTTCTTACCTGTTTCCCAGGACTCTCCTTGGACCTTGGGATCGGGTTCTTCCTGGCCCTGCGCTGCCAGCAGGGATACAAACACCAGGAGAAAGCTCAGAGCCTGCAACTGCAGGGCCATGCTAACATGAAGTCCCCAGGCAGGACTGAAATCTCAGACCCGCTTGCTGCTTCTGAGCCCAGGCATCTGTAACTGACTGCAAGACTTGCAACCACAGGAAGGAAACAGATGTGGGGAAATCTCATGAGATACAGGAGGCTTCCTCTTTGGGGAGGGAACCTCCCATCACTGTCAGTGCTGCTGCCTTTTGCTGCCTTTTTTCCCCAGGGGCATCCAAGCTCTGGTACTCAACAGAAGAACCCCTGTCCCCAGGATCCCAGAGTTTCCCCCCAAAACCCTCCTAGTTACCAGAGTGCATTCAAGAAGCACTGCTCCTATTTCTGAGGCAATATCCATGTGCTTCCCAATGTCACTGCATGGGTTTTAGAGTTGTGATGAGTCACTGCACTTCCCCTCAATGATCACAGGAGATGGAGGACCTTTGAGAAATCACATAAAGAGCTAGCAAGGAGCAGGGATAGGAATGGGGACGTGACCTGCAAGGAGTACCTCAAGGCCTGAAACAGTCCTTGGCCCTTCTGAAAGACAAACTCAGCCCACACCCTCTCTCATCCTTCCCTGCTCCTCCATCCCCAGCTGCCTCCTCATCCTCCCCCTCAGCCTGGCAACACTCTCCTCTGTCCCCAGGTGTGCAGACCACCCTGCTCTCTAGTGCCAGCTGAGTGCCTGAGGAAACCCTCAGAGCTACTAAACCCCCCGCCTTGCTTCTCAGCAGCTCCTGCTTTTCTCTTCCTCCAGAACCTCCCATGGGCCCATCTGAGATGTCTCAGATCCCAGAGGACTGGGTGATCAGACACAGGGGCTGCGGAGGAGCAAAGACCATGCTTGTCCCTCAGCTTTGCCCGCAGCACATGCACAAGACACGCTCCTGCCCAGGACGTATTGAGGGGAGCACCACCACTCACTGGTTCCCAACACACACCCCATCCAAATGCACGTCAGAGCTGCCCAGCACAGCCACGGAGGTTTGGGGAGGCTGTCAGCCACAGCTCCAGGCCACAGCAGGCCTGCTCATGGCCTCCCCTCAACAAGGTGCAGTTAGCTCAGCACCCCACAGGGAACACGACCCCACAAGGGCAATGAGGGGAACAGACAGGAGCTGGGGGGGGGCAGGAGGCCCCCTCCAAACCACGAGCCTTTATTGGTTGTCCAGACACACCAGGCAGAGTCACGATGCTGATAGCCCAGGCTCTGACTGGATATGGGGATAGGGAGTGGGGAGCAGGGCAACCCAGGAGGTAGCAGGAGCACAAACCAACCCTCCCATATCCCAACCCTGCACATTCCCCTTTCTCAACCAGCAGTAGCCACATGCTACTAAGCTCGCTCCTCCCCTCTCTGCCCAATAGCCATCCAGAGCAGCTCCATCAGGCATGCAGGTCACACCAATGAGAACCCATGTGAAGGAGATGCTTTGGTCCTAGGGGCCAGTTGCAGGTACCACAATGATGGTCAGACAGCTCATATGAAGGACTATCAAAACATGTCTTTACTTGCACATGCAGCTCATCCCAAGCTAAAAAAAGAGCTGGAGAAGAGAGTGGCCGATTGCCCTATCTTCCAGCAGCGTGCTCCTCACTAAGGAGAGCCTTCGGGCTGCCCCTCAACCTCCCGGCTGCACCGGGCACCGGCATCCCACAGCGCGGGAGAGGCAGTGGCTGCTGGAGGCTGCACCGGGGCAGCAGCAGCAGCCGAGATTAAGCAGATCCCAAAGGCTGCAGGATGGGGATTTTCCAAGAGGGCCAGGTCCAACTGCACCTCACAAAATGGGAGACGAGCACCAACACCCACAGAGCAGGTCACAGACCAACACAGAGGCACAGCTAGGCCTAGTTGAGAGAGACCGTGCTACCTGTAGGATGGGCAGGAGAGAAAGTAGGAACCTGAAGCGTTGCACTGGGAGCACGCAGCTTCTCAGGTGTGCTTCCTCAGGGCTGCCGGGGGCTGGAAAAGCCTAGTCCAAGCTCCTCCATGAAGATCTATAGGGACGGGGCTTTCACGCACAAAACAGGGAGGAACCACAACAAGGTGGGAGCTGTCGTGGGGCAGGAAGCCCCTGCAAACCAGAACAGTTTATTGGTTGGTTGGACACAGCAGCACAGCTGCCAGGGCAGCGCGGTTGGGCCAAACTCAAGCAGAGGCCGGGGTCTAGGTGGATATGGGGATACGGAGCAGGGAAAGAGGGAACCTGTGTGCTGCTTCGGTCTCAGAGGACAGTTGCAGGCACCAGGACGCGGGTGAGACGGCTTTGCCACAGCACTGGAGGACTACCAGAACACGTCCAGCAGGTCGTCCCAGGCCTTGGGCTGCTCCTGCTCTGTGACAGAGGATGCTGGAGCTTGATGAGGGAGCAAATTTGAGGGGGAGCAGTAACCCAGCACAAGCTATATGAAGTCCTGCTTCCAGTGGTGGAGGACCAAGCCTCGAGAAGGGGCTCCGGGAATTGCCATCAGCACTGAGCCTCGGACGTCCACCCCATCTTCTCCTCTCCCTCACTGCTCTGACTGTCTCCTGAGGACTCCAGGACAGGCAGGGGCTGGGGCAACAGCTCTCCAGCCTGGCCACCTTTACCTGCAGAGACCAAGGGCACCCAGGGCAGAGGCTGCTGCGTGCCCTTGGCAGCGTGCAGAGCTCACGCCATCACAGCTGCCACTCTCCACCCTCTCTCTGCCAGCTGTGGGAACACAGGCAGGGCAATCCATCTCCTACCTGCAGCCTCATCTGCCAGAAAAGTCTCCTTGATCACGCAGTAATTATCCGAGTTCTCATAGGGCTGGAGCTCTAGGGGAATGACAGAAACAGCTTGAAGGACCCAGGGACTGTGGGAGAAGGAGCAGGGCAGACCCAGGCAGACAGCAGCACTGGGGGCTGCAGGGCACCCTGGGACACACACCGGCAGGGCAGCAGGGCTGGGCAGAGGCCCTGCCTCCCCCGGGCAGGGTGAGCATGAGGGGCAGCTCCCAACCCTCACTGGCACGGTGAGGGGACCCCGGCCAGAAGCTGCTGGAGGAGGCAGTGGGAGGAGGCTCTCGGCTGGGGATAGCACATGTGGGACACACTGCTCTGGCAGGTCAGCCAGAGCCAGCTGGGCTGCCTGCAGCCACCACAGGATGGCAACAGGCTCTCCTGGAATAGACTTGCTCCCCTCCCAGCTCTAACCCCAGCCCTACAGCCGTCTCTGTGATGGGGACCCTACCTGTGTAATGGTCCTCCTTGGCTTTGCTGGGTAAGGCCTTCCTTCTCCTGGGAAAACAAAGGGCAGTCCTGAGTCAGGGGAGAGGCTGACGTGCCCCAGGGCCCTGCTGAACCCAGCAGCAGAGGCACGGACGGCTCTGCACACCCTCCCTCTGGGCCTCTCACGAGCTTGCAGGCATTGCCCATCAACACCCTGGGGGACAGCAGCAGTGGTAGCAGCAACAGCAGCAAGGGAGGGCGTCTCTTAGCACACACGGTCCCTGCCCAGCCCTGAGGAAAATGCTCATGAGCCCCAGACAGGAGCCCTACAGCCGAGCTATGGTAGGACCAGCCAGCTGCATCCTCTGTACCCGAAGGGTGGGAGCAGCTGGAGGAAACCCTTCTCCAACCCCACAGCACAGCGTGGCCTGGGGCAGAGCAGCAACTCCAAGTCTCCTGCCTACTCACCTGGACAGCACAAAGCACAGGATCCCTGCAGACAGGAGGACCAGCACCACCAGCACCACAAGCACCACCATGACTGCCAACCCAGGCCACGGGCCCAGAGGCTGTCCTACAACTAACAAGCAGCCAGAAGTGGGTGCCACAGCCTGGACCATGTGCCAGCGATGGCCCCGACCTTGGCATTGGGTGTGTGCATGTGTGTAGACATGTGTGTCCAGGCTTGGCTGTCCTGGCTGCTGCAGGGACAGGCAGCAAGGCACAGCCTCCCCTTGCCCTCACATATGCTGGGCAGGGCAGGGCAGAGGGAGGCTCTGGAGCACGGGGACTTGTCCCATCTGCCATACACAACTGGAGGGTCGGGAAGCCCGCTCAACCAGCCTGTGCACAGCAAGAGGACACACAGACCCAGCACTGTCTGACCTTGAGCCCCCATGCACCCGAATGCAGGGGTGGGTATCATCGTCTCCAGTGGAAGACTAGAGGGGCCAGCTCTGCTCTCGCATGCACAAAGAGGGGCTGAAGCGATGCAGCTGCTCTGGGGACCAGGCGATGCACGCCCTCGAAGCAGGACTCACCCAGCCCTGTGGCCCACTGCTGAGGCGGGCTCTCAGGGTGACCACGCTCCCTGCATCTGTCTTGGTGGGGATGGCATGGGTACACACACAGCTCTGGAAGCTGTTCCAGGCTCAGCGCTCGCTCCCAGGGAGGCCACCTCAGCCAGACCCAGGGCAGAACAACCATTACCCGAGACGTAGCTTCGAAATTCCAGCAGTGACGCAGCCCCAGCACCAGCCGCCGTGAGGCCCTGCACTGTCACCGTGTATTTGCTTCCAGGCATCTGATGAGATGGCATGTACTGAGTGACAGACTGGTTCACCAATACCTGCTTGAATTCAAGGAAGCTGCCATCATGCGCTCTCCTGGCCGTGATGTTCAGCTAGAGGAAGGACACAGAGCTGGTGGGGAGCAGCACCGACCTCCCACTCCTGCTCAGGGCAGCTCTGCAGAGAGGGGCTGATACTGCTGGCTGAGGACAGGAGGGGAGCTGACCACACCAGAAACACCAGCAGTGTAGAGCTGGTGGGCCCTGGCTGAGGAGGGCTCACACCTCTCCCCAGGCTGCCTGCACAGAGCTCCAGGCAGGGAGGCGCCTGGCAAGGTGAGGGGGATCACGGGGAGTCCGTGGTCCCCTGGTACCTGGTATCCGATAATCTCCCCTTTGCAGGAGGGCAGCGCCTTCCACCGGAGGGACCCCGTGCTGGGATCCAGCCACAGCTTCTCTGGTTTGTCCGGCACTGGAAGCACAGGAGGACGGGGTCACACATGAGGCCAGTGAGGATTTGTGCCTCACAAAGGCTTCATGTGCCGCAGCAGCAGCAACGGTGTGGTAAGGAAGGGGAGAGTGAGGAGGGGACGTGCCATGCTCCAGGGCCCTGCACAGCCCCTTTCCCAGAGCTCCACAGACTCCAAACAGCCACAATCCCAGGACCATCACTGCAGGGAGCGGATGTTCAGGCCGAGCTGCCAGGCGAAGGGCATCTTACATTTCATTGTAAACATACCCGTTTCCTTTGTCCTGAGGAGCCGTGTGTACAGGATCGTGCTGGGCGGCAGGGAGATGGTGACACTGTAGACAGTGAAGGGCTGCAGAGGGGGACAGGTGAATGTTCCCTTCCGGCCATGTAGTCTCTCCTCTCCCTTCACCTCCTCAGCCTCACAGGGAGGGGAGGAATGCTCTTCCAGCCGGCACCTGGCCCAAATGTGTTGGCAGACTTCAGGGAGCCTGCAGGTCCAGTTCAGTTTGATGCTGGTGCTGGAAATCTCCAAGGTCTCGGAGACAACCTGGAGGATATCTGCGAAGGAAACATTGCAAGAGGGTCACTTCCTTCCCTTCCCCTCCCAGCCTTGCAGCCAACCTCCACCATCCCCACTGTTCCCTCGCTAGCCTGTCCCCAGCACAGTGTGGACAAGACCATCCCGCCTTCTCCCACACTACACTCAGGCACTGCCTGCACCTTCCTCTGGCCCTCAACTATTCCCAGGGGTACTCTGGGTGCTGCAGTGACTGTGGGAGGGTAAGAACAAGCACTTGTGGCCTCTCTGTAGCTGCCAACCCTGGGGCTAGCCACTGATCCAGTGACTGATCCCTTTCATACCAGCAATGACTTAGCCAACAAACCCAGCAGCCAGACCAGGGGCCTGCCCTCCTGCCCCTGGACTCTCGTGCTCTTCTCCAGGCAGACCCATCTGACTGGTCTGGGCACGCTGCCTGGCACCCTATGCACAGTGGTGAGGACTTGTCCCCCTCGGCACTGTGCAGGGTGCCCCAGCTGCCGACAGCACGGAGTCAAACCTGGCATGCATCAGCAGCAGTTTTCTCTGGAGTGAATGCCCACGCCATGCCCTGACCACCCCGAGCACGGGGCACTAACGCTGTGGGACACAGGCAGCACTGCTCTCCCTGCCTGGGGAGAATGGACTGAGAGCACTGGGAGAGTGGCTGGTTCAATCACTTACCCACACAGGTCAGGTTCCCCTCCATAGGGTGCCAGCGGCCTGTGCTGTTCCTCACAACCCAGCCGCTGCGAGGAATCGTGGAGCCTTCCCTTGGGTTCAGCTTCACGCATTTGATCTCCATGGGGGGAGGCCAGTGTCCCTCAGGGCATCTCATCTTTACCACTTCATTTGGGTTGAAGGTCCACCGTTCTTGGTCAAAGATAAACCTAGGGTCCCACTGGGGCTTCTCACATTTCTCTGCACCAACAAGATGGGAAGGAGTTAGCAGGGCAGAGGTTGGCCCCGCAGGGCATGCCAGGGGATGGAGCAGGGGATCCCCTTCCCTGGCATGGTAGGGCGAGGGATGGAGCTGCAGGACACCATATAGAGCAGCCCTCCCATACCACGTCCTCAGCAAGGGGCTGAGGACAAGAAGGGCCCCGTGCTGCTCCCCCCAGGCCTCCCAGGAAAAGCCAGGAGGAGCTGTAGCTCCAGGGACCAGAGGCACCGTGCAACACTCAAAGCTGCATAGGGATGGAAAGCTCAGAATTTGGCTCTGGGGCCTCACAGCCCCCTCAGTTGAGCCTGGTAACATGCAACTTTAAGTCTACAAGGGGACTGTACAGGACACCCTGAAAGCCCGGGCCATGTGTGGAGCTGCCCCCACAGGCCCTGCTCAAGGATCCACAGGAGAAGCATCCCTTTCCCCTACCACCCATGTCCCCACGCTCCCCGAGCTCACAGCTGCCTTCAGGGAACCAGCCCCAAGCCCTCTCGCTGTGGCCCAGCCAGAGGGGTCACGGGGCATGCAGAGAGTCGGGCAGCACCAGAGGACAGCTCATTCCTGACCTTCAGCATGTTGTACAGGGCTTCCCACACCAACACAAGCTCCACTACACATCGCTGTGCCACACCCAGCGCTGGAGCTTCTCTCCCTTGTGCACATGCTGTTTCCAGAAGCCCTCAGGGAGACCCATGGCACACACACACCTCCACCATCAACCTCCCACCCAGCCGTGAATAGCAGGCTGGAGCCCTGCACACCCAGCACTCTGCCCTGGCCTGGCCTGGGCACCTCTGGTCACTGCCCCCCACCCTGATCCCACAGTCCCCTCCTGCCAGGACCCTCAGGGACTGAGGCTGGCACCAGACCCCTCCCCGCAGAGGCTCCCCTGGAGCCCCGGGACAAACACAGGGCAGGCTCAGGGGCTGCCTCGACACGGCCTTCAGCAGCACCTACCATTTCCCCAGGCAGGCAGAGAGCCCCAAACCTCCTGTGCACTGAAACCTCCTGCGCAGGCACAGCCTGCCTTCCCCTGCTCAGGAACGTGTCCTGTGGCCGGTTTCTGGCAGAGGTGAAAGTGGCTGTTAGTTGGGCTGGGAGGTGACAAGCTGAGTCAGGGGTGGGAGGTGGGGTATCACCAATCATTCAGTTTGGGGCAGAGCAGGGCAGCCAGGACAGGTCCTGATGCCTCCCTTACCAACGCACTCCACGTTGGACCGAATGCGGATCCAGCCACCTCTGCTGTCCCTTCCATGCCAAACTTCTCTGTATACAGGTTTCCCATGACTGATGGGCTGGACTTCACTCGAACATTTGATTTTGGTGAAGGACGGCTGGAAACCCTCAGGGCAGCTCAGCATCACTTCTTCGTTCTTCTTGTAATTCTCCTGGTCTGGTGCCAGCCAGAGTCTTGAGTCCCACCGGGGCCTTTGGCACGTTTCTGGCAGAGGTGAAAGTGGCTGTTAGTTGGACTGGGAGGTGACAAGGTTGGGCAGGGATAGCTGGTGGGGTATCAGCAATCCCCAGCAATCCCTCCAGCCCCTGAAGGGAGAGGGAAGGTGACACGTCCATCTGCCAGGACATGACCCCTCAGCAAGGCTTGTTGGGAGGGGGCTCTCCCTCTGTACTGCTCAGGAACCACTGCAGGAGTTGCCAGCTTGCTCGGCTGGCACTATCTTGTCTCTTGCCTCCTGCCTGGGCTGTCCTCTTTAACAGTTTGCACGGGCAACACAGCACCAAGGAGGGACTGTGGCGTGCCTGCAGCTCAGCTGGGCAACGTCACAGCCGGCTATCGAGGGTGAAGGTAGAGAGGGGACATGGGAGAGCTGCTGCTGCCTCACTTACCACTACACTCTACGGCCCTCTCAATGATCGTCCAGGCACCTGTGCTGCTCCTGCCCCACCAGGCATCTCTGTAGGCTGGTTTTCCAGAACTCACTGGTAGCAATTCCCTTGCACATTTGACCTTGGGGAAGGATGGCTTGAGATCTCTGGGGCAGGTCAGCAGGAGTTCTTCATTCAGTCATTTGGTTGTTTTTTTTGCTCGGTGCAAACTGGACTCTTTTATCCCACTGGGGTTTTGGGCACTTTCCTATCAGGGTCAAAGTGTGAGAGTCCTTCTCGGGGACAGGGACTGGTCAGGCATTGGAGGGCAGGGCAAGAGCTCTTTGCAAGCTCTTCGTTGCATCCATATATCCTCTGCTCTGCTCTGTGGCAAAGTGGAGTCTGTGTCTCACTGGGATGCTGGCAGAGGCGGGGCAGGCGTCAGCATGCTGGGAAGGGGACTACTGTGAGTCTGCAGCTCCAATACATCACCCTGGCAGGGCAGTGGCATGCTAGTGGTTGGAGCTGGCTTGTTTGTTTAGAGCTTTTCTGTGGAACAGGCAGCAGGCGAGGGCCTCTTTGGAGCCTATGAATCAGGACCAGGAGAGAGACCGAGTAAGGGTGACACCATGCTGCAAGTGTGTCCACCTCCCCAGGGGAGAAAATGGACAAAGTCTGTTTTAAACTGCTCAGGGACCAGCTTGGCTAAAGCGGGAACTGAGCTGCAGCACAAGAGGCACTACATAGGAGGTGGAAGGAGAGGCTGCAGAGGAATAAGAGAAGCACTGCCTGTGCATGCAGAGATGGAGCTAGGAAAGCCCAAGCTCAGCTAGAGCTGACCCTTGTAAAGGATGTCAGGGAACCCTGCAGTCACCAGGCACAACTGGTGGCTCTGACAAGGCCCATCCCTGACTTTGCCAGGGTATCTGTGAGTCCCAAAACTGCTGAAAAGATGAGGTTTCTATCCTAACAGGATAGGGATACAAGGAGAGGCTGAGGGAATATGGCTTATTTAGCTTGCAGAAGAGGAAGTTTGGGACAGCTCTCTCCTCCCCATGACTCTGACCACTCACCCTGACACACACAAGAGTCCCTCTACTCCCACCGTGTGCCCAGGCACTGTTCAGGGGCACAGGGCTTTTCATCACCCTCTCTCCAGGACTCCCAAGCCTCCCCTGGGTTCCACCCACCCATGGGGTGCTTGAGACCCCATTTTCCTGGCCCCTCTCATGCCCAGCTGAGCAGTGCAGCAGGGAGAGCCTCCCCCACCAGAGCTCACCCAAACCCCAGAGACGCTTCCCAGGGACACATGGGGCTCTGAAGCAGCGCAAAGTGCCAAAGCCTCAGGCTGAACCCCTCCAGCTACAGCACATGCTTCCCAGCACAGCTCAGCTGCACCAAATCGTTCAAGGCATAGCTGCTCTGGTTCGGGCTAAACTGCAGCTTGGGGTCCCAGTCGGAGGGAGCGTTACATCTTCCTGTGTGCAAAGGCCACGAGGGAGAGCCCTGAGGATCACTGGGCTCCGGCAGCGTCCTCGGGGGTGACGAGGCCCCGTCCTGAGGGGTGCTGGTCCCCCTCACTTGAGAGGGGCGGCAGAGATGAGCACCTCCCCGGATGAGGCCCCAGACCCCAGGTGCATTAACCCTCCTTGCACCCTCAGGTGCAGTGCAGGAGGGTTACCCGCAGGCCCTCCTGCCCACCCACGCGCTGCAGAGGGGTCCCAGCCAGCGGGAGCCAGCAGCCCAGTGGATGCTGCTCTCTCCTGCGCTCTCTCCCACAAAGACAGGGGCTGTGGCAGCGCAACACACCCAGTGGGCCTCTGCTGCCATTGCACACCCTCCCAACTTGGCCCCACGAGGCAGCTGCCAGCACCAACAGCCTGCCCTCAGACCTCCGCATCTGCGTTCACAGCACTGACCACAAAGCTCACACCCCACTCCAGGCACCCAGCCTTTCCTGTGCACTTCACCCAAAAGGAGCCTGCCTTGCCCTGCCCTGGCAGGCGTGTCACCCAGACTTGCTCACCCAGTGCAAACTGAGCCCATGACGAGGCATTGGGTAGGAGGTGGCCTCCCCTAAATTAGGATGAAACACCTCTCTTCAGCCACACGCATCTCTACAACTGCCCGCTTCCTGCCAGCCAGCACTCGTGGGGCTGCACTCCCTTACGCTGCAACAGGGGCATCACCACACTTCCCTTATCTGCTAGCAGCCATCATCTCAACCCTGCACCCTGGCCCTCCGCTGCAAAGGACAGTGGTGGCCACCACCCCCCATCCTTTGAGACCACCGGTGTTGGCCAGACAGGAAACTGCTTCCCCCGCCGCTGGATCCGTCCCAGTGCCCTCAGAGCACACACTTCCCCGTGACAGCCAAAAGCCTTGACAGACCTGAAACCCTTGACTCGGTCCGAGCCCGGTTATGCATCCCTGGCATGCACCTTGCCCCCTCCCATCATTAAACCCCCCTGAAGCAGCGCACACGCCCTCACACTCCTGCCCCAGGGTGACATCCAGGATCCTTCCCACCCCAGCAGGGTCCAGGCTACCCACCCAGCACCAAGCGTTTGACCAGGGACACCAGCCAGCGGGGAGGAAATCCCTCTGCTGCGGGAAAATGAACCACACTTCAAAGAGCAGGTTTCCACCTGTGGGGAGGAATGTTTTTTTCCTGTTGGTACTTGTCAGGAAACAGGTCCCAAAGGCTGGCTGTCCCCGAGATGCTCTACATCAGAAAGGCTAGGCAGAAACACCCTTACATAGAAGGAGGACGGGGGATGCAGTAAGAGCACAGCCCGGCTCAGTCAGGAGGCTGACAATGACCTGCAATGCAAGAGGACACAGTGACAAGCAGGTTACACTCCTAAGGGAGTAGGAGTCAACAAGAAGAGCCAGTGAGGAAACAGCTGGCAAGGCCAAGGCACAAGAGGGGACGTAGCAAGTGGGAGCAATGGGAGCATGAGGCTGTCTCCCGCAGACCTCAGTGGGGAGAGGAAGGTCAGCAAAACTGGGCCATAGGCACTGTCAGCAAGTAACGCAAGCCTTTGATGTCTAGGTCAGGTCTAGAAAATGCATGTGGGTCATTCAGACGTTGATGGCTATCCCTGAACAGCAAGGACACAGGACATGAAGAGAAAGTGAAAAAAGCACACGTCTATGGCAGACATGACTCCTTGATGACACTTGAAGAGCACCGGCTGCCGCAAAAGCCCTTGTGGGGGCTTGGCATGGCACCAGGGCTTTCCTCTCGGTGCAGGTGGAGGCAAGCTCTACCCCTGCCTGCAGCTCTGCTGGGCTACCCATAATCCAGACTCCAACGGCCTCCTTCAGTGCTGCAGATGCCAGCAGCGTGGTAGAGGATAATGGCCAGAACCTCAGTTTGGTGCCCCACACCTCTTCTGCAGACACAGACCCAGGAAATCTCCCCCAGCCACTCAGAGCCCATCACAGCCCCCCTCAGGCCAAGGAGGGGAGAGCCGTGACTATCGACAGGGCTTCTCAGGGATGGGCTGTGCAGAACGGGAGAGAGGGGCAGGAGCTGCTGCTGAGTCGAGGCTCCATCCTGCCCTGCATAGCTGAGGGCTGCCTGTTGTTGGAAGGGCAGCATCCCTCCAGCCACCAGCGATGGGAAACATGACTCATGAGCCATCCGATGACTTGGCAAGCCACTTCTGCTCCCATTTCCCTGCAGAGAGAGTGATTCACACCTCAGGCCCCCTAGACCCTACTGCAAAGAGCAGCCGCTCCTGCTGTGCCCCATGGGCACCTCGACGGGTACCGGCAACTCCAGGGCACAGCGCACAGCCTCCGCAGGAAAGCCCACATTCTCCATAGGAAGAGCCCAGCAGAGACCCAGGAGGTGCCCCAGCCCTCCTGGCACAGGGAAGGAACAGAACAACGCTGTTAAAGAACAGTCCCGCTGAACTACATCTCCCCCAAACCCAGCAACTACGGGAGAGAGCAGGCGTCCCAGCTAACACAGGGATTCATCTCACAGCTCCCCACGTCTTTCTGAACACTAGGGATGCTGCTCTGATTGCCCCAGGAAGGCCACGTACCCCGGCTTTGTCTGCCCACTGTGCGATGAGAACTAGCCACCTCCTGCTCCCAGGGACACTGCCCACTCCCCAGAGGCATATTGTAGCTCCCACGCTCATGGAGGCTTTCCCAGCACACCGAGGTTTGCTGCCCTCCATCCCCAAACAGAGCTTCACCCCACCACAACCCGACGGCAGCCTGAGTGTCTCATGACGGATGCAGACGCCAGCTTCAGCCCTCCCCAACACAGCCGCTGTGGGCTGAACGGGGTAAAGCTACGTAGCAAATACGCAGGCAGAGGAGCAGCAAAACCTTTTCTGTAAGAGAGAGGCGCAGCCCACTCTTACCTGCTTCCTTGGCTCCCCCCTGCCTCTTGGGACCTGGGTCCGTCTGTCCCCGTGCAAGCAGCAGAGGGGCAAGGACCAGGAGAAAGGCCAGAGCCAGCCCTCGCAGGGCCATGCTGGCACAAAGTCCCCGGGCAGGACTCAGTCTGAGCCGCTCCGGAAAGGTATCTGTGTAGCCCAGCGCAGGAGAGGTGCAGACACAGAAATGAAACAGCCACACAGGGAAATCACATGTGGTGCAAAAAGCTTCCTCTTTGGAAAGAGAGCATCCCACCGGCCACAGGGCTGCTCCTCGCCCATCTGCCCGCAAGCAGCAGGTCCAGGCTTGATGGGGTCTCCTGGGTGCCTCCATCCAGCCTTTTCGCCGGCTACCTCAGGCCCCCGTAGCCCTGCTTCCACAAACACCTCCAAAACCTTCTCAGGTCTGCCTCACTCCTCTCGCCCTCCACATCCAGTGGTGGATATTGAGGAAAACACCCCTGCTTCACCTGCCCAAGCCCACCCCAGGGTGCTCTCATCATGCATCACTTTTGCCTTGAAATCTCTCTACTTATTACCTTGAACTGACCCAGCTGCAGCAATCCTGCTGTTGAACCCCACCAATAGACCTTCCAGATCTGACAAGCTCCTGAACCAGACAGACGTGGCTCATTTCCCTTCTCCTCCAAACCTTTCCTGCTATCCTGCTCTGAGCTCCACTTTCTCAGTGCCTTCTAGGATGTGAAGCGCCTTGACATGGACAGTGCACACGGTACTGGGAGTAAGAGGGTCTTCCTGGAGCTGGATGGAGAAGGCTTATTCCTGTCCCTGGCTAGGTCAGGCAGGGTCTTTGGGTATGGGAGGGAATTCCCTGGGCACTCCTCGTTTTGAGCCATAACCCCAAGCTGCCTCGCTTACGCTCCCCCAGGCTTCTGTCCCTGAAGACGCCACCACCAAGCTCTTCTCTGAGCCCCTTTCCAGCTCACACACTGTTGCACGGCTTCAAGCTTCCACGAGTCCTGCCTCCCTGTGCTGTTGCAGCTCTCCTGGGCAGCTCCTCTTTCAACTCTGCGGTTTATACAGCCTCTCTCTCTCTGTTTCCCTGGACAGAGGAGCATGATTGCTCTATGGTCCAATACAATCAGTGTTTTGGGAACAGGTGCTGTCACCCAAGGTGCTCTTCACCACCTGGCTGGGACCAGTTGGCCCAGAGCTCCATGGCAGATCCTTTCCCAGGAACCACCACCCTCAGTACCGCAGGACAGTGCTTTTTGTATCTGCCTGCATTACCCCAGTAGAGCACCAACACTGAGGGGTTTCTGGAAGCTAGGTCTCTCCTAAGATCCATTCAGTAACATCAGTACATCAAGTCCAGCTGTCTCACATACAGCTGTTGTGAGATTAATGTGGCAAAGTCTTCTAGCAAGCTTGCAGCAAGAGGAGCAGCAGCACTAAGTCATGTCCTCCGTTTCCTTGGCAGTTCCCTGGGCATTGGGAACCAGGCTTTTTTTGTCCCTGTGCAGCCAGCAAAGGTGCAAGCACCCAGGAGAGCGGCCACAGCCAGCACTCACTGGGTAATGTCCTCATAAAATCCCAGCGTTAGACGTAGACACTCTCACTGCCTCTCTTTGCCATATGAAAGAAGCAAAAACAGTGACAGAAAACACCCAAGCTTCAAAAATGCACATGTTGGTGCAAGAGGCTTCCTATTGCAGCTGATATGAGTATTTCTTTTCTTTTCCCCTATCCTGAAATGCACTGGCGCCTAGCAATCTGTGTTTGGCCTCTTCCTCCTTAGAAATTTATCATTTTTTGAGATTTGTTGCCTTAGTGTATAGCATGCACTAGAAAAATGCTGAAGAAATACTGAAGGCCAGCACACTCTGTCATATGCCTAGCTCTCACACAGTCTAACATTAGAGCGGTTAGTTCAATTGATGATGCCTTACTTCACTGGGAACCACATAGCAGAGTTCAAATGAGAGAAGGTTTCCGAGGGACTGTCAAGTCACGCAGCAACTCATGAATCCAAACTCGGCATGACATGATCAACGGGAGGTGATGAGCTCCAGCTCCGTGAGACCATTCACTGCGCTTCCAAGAGCACATCACGTGTGGGCTGTGCCTACTCTCCGTACACTGCTCTAGTCCTTGCAGCAGGACTAAGTCTCACAGGGCCATCTCAACACATCTTAGATGCTTTCTAATACAGATTTCCTGCTATAGCATACAGTGGATGTGTACATCTTTGCACGTCATAAAGCCAGCCAGCCACATACCTTCCTCTCAATGGGGCTGAGGCCCCAAGGCAGTTGATTTGATCATTCTATACATGATTGATGGGCTGTTTCCTGAAGGTCCGGTTCAATCGTCAATGAACTAACAGGACTCAGACCTTCAGACTGAAGAGAGAAAAACCCAAATCACCCGCAATTTGCAATCAGTTTTACTTCTGATAAGGAAGAACACTGAGGGCTCAAAACCATCCACGAAACCACAAGGAAAGGAGAAGTAGCTGTGGCTTTTGAGGATCAGGCTTTGTGGAAAGCACTGTTAACGTATCAACCACATCCCCCTACAGTAAAGTCTATTCCTGTGTCAGACCTCAAAAATAACAGAAATACATTTGGGGCTTATCCCCATCCCTGCCCCATACCTGTCCTTGAGGGAGCCCAGTGTGGGGCATACCTATAAATCATCCGATACGGCCGTGGCGACGGGGGTAGGCTGAGGCCAGGCTGGGATGTCATCGCTGGGATGACACACCACCCACCATGATGTGGTGGGTCAGGATCAGGCCTGGGGAGGGTAACCCGGTCAGATCCAGCCCTGGGATGGACAGGCAGGGGTCTGCTCCCTGCACAGCACCAGCGCATGACCACATGTGATCTGGGGGGCTGGCTCCCCACGTGCTGCTGCTTCCTCTTCAGGACACAGCGTCTGCCTCAGTCAGGGCTGCAGCCTGCGCTGCCAGAGCCCAGAGGCTCTTCTGGCAGGGAGAGATGGAAAATGCCCCCAGGATCCTGGCTAGAGCCCAGCCCCAAGTCCTGCTGTAGGGTCTTCCTCACCCCTCCAGCAACCTTGCCAACCCCACCAGCCCTGAACCTTCTTCCACACAGGGATCTTGCAGTGCCGTCAGGGGGACAAAGGCCAGTGCACTGTGCCACCCTGAGCTCAGGAACCCTCCAGCCCCTTCCCCAAGGTGACAATAAAACCCAGATGTCCCAGTCCCCTACAGCACATCTCCTGCAGATCTGGGGGGAGAACCCCAGACCTATGGGCAGAAGGAGGGTAAGGGGAACCCAAATAGTTCTGGGGTACAGAGGCATCCTTCAAGGGTGACAGCCTGGTCATGATGGGTTATCACAGTCTGCCTTGGGCCCAGCAAAACATCTGGGAGGTCTGCAGGGAGCTGTGCTGGCCTGGGAGAGGGGTGGCATTGGGGCATCTTTGCTGTCACCCAGTTGGCAGCAGCAGCCAGGGCAAGGATTCCCTCTTGTGGCACCGGCCACCCAAGGCTGCCATCTCTGCTCCCAAGGCGGCTTATGGAGCTGCCTGGTCTGCCTGTAGTCTGGCCTCCCCCAGGACAGGTGGGCTGAGAGCGGAGATGTGACAGTGGACAGCCCCGCAGGGTGCAGAGGTCCCAGGAGGGCACTCCTGGGTGCTGGGCAGAGCTGTGGCAGGCCCTGGGGGCTGGATAACCGTGCCTCCTTTCCCTCTGCTCTGACTGCTACAGCAACCTCCTTCCAGGGGAGGGAGCAGGACCTGCTGCCTGCTCTACACTGTGAGCATCTCCCCAGCTTTCTGAGTCCATCTGTGCACGCCCCCCCTGCCATGCCCCTCTACCCAGAAGCATGGACCCAAGCCAAGCAAGACTCTCTGCCCTGGCACTGCCGCCTTGACGCATGTCCCTCTGCAGTGCCAGCCAGCTCACAGCCCCCGACCCAGCCTGCCCAGGCCCGTCTGGCCTTGTGCTGCAGCCCACACCTACCCCAAATACACCCCCCACTCCCTTTCGCTCTCAGACTGCAACCCTCTCCCATCTGGCTGCGCACTTGCTGACCGCACAGAAAGATATTTTTAGCACACGAAATTGGGCATAAGCTGTTTGCAGCTGGGAGCAGGGTGGAGTAAGGCTGGAGGGGCATGGGATGCTGCATTTTGGTTTAAGGAAGATGTGCTCAGAAATGGGGTTTCCAGCTCTGACCTCTGAGCAGTTCCACATCTGGTCCAGCCGTTCCCGCTCCCATCTTCAGCACGTCCCACCCTGGTTCTCCGACAGGGAACATGGCTAAACCCAGGAGGTGGGAATTGTAAGATTTGGAGCAGCATCTCAGGCCAGACTAGCTTCCCCCCAAACCCTGCTGCCTGAAGGTGCCGCCTTCAGGGCAGGCTCTCTGCACCAAGATCAATACTTCTGACCTGCTCTTTCTGCCACCGTGTTTCATGCCCATATCCCCCCATCTGCCCCCTGGCAGAGGCGGCATATTGTGCGTGTGGTCTCTCTCTCTCTGCCTGAATGGAGCAGCTCGCTCTCTCCTAGACAAACCCTCCACCCTGCACTTTCTTCATGGCACAAGCCTCTCTGCATTGCTCCTGTTCAAATGCTCCACCCAACCCCATGTCCCGGCCCCACACGTCACAGCTCTCTTTCATAGGCAGCTGATGGAGTGCATGTGTTTGGTGGAGTCATGAGTCTCTCCTTCCACACACAGGTCTTAAATAAAGGGCTTGGCATTTACCCTTTTCAGTTCTCAGCCTGTACAGCTTCCAGAGGAAAGCAAATCCTGAGGAACCGCCTATGCCACCCAGGGTAGCTGGGAATAGAGAAGTGCCCAAAATATCCTGAGCCCAGAAGGAACCCGATGAATAGGGAAGAAAAAGCCAAGCAGCTGTTTCCCCAGTGAACTGGAGCCAGTGGCCTGGTGGAGGGGGGAAGGTGGCACAGCTGTTGGTGTTAGCTGGTCATCTGGGGGCTGCACAGCCCCATCATCATGCCAGGCACTGCACCAATGATGCCTTGGAGGAGGCATCGCTGCTGCCAGGGGGACCCTGAGCTGGCACAGCTCCCTCCTGACCCATCCCAGGATGTCTGTCCATGTCGTGGCTGTGCGGTTGCCATCAGCAGAGTGCTGT